TGAAGACAGAGCCTCCCCAGGTGTGGTGGCTCATGCCTGTAATCCAAGCACTTTGGGAAGGCCAAAGCAGGCAGATCACTTGAGGTCTGGAGTTTAAGACCAGCCTGAACAACGTGGTAAAACCACATCTCTACTAAAAATACAAAAATTAGCTGGGCATGGTGGCGAGCACCTGTAATCCCAGCTACTCGAGAGACTGAGGCAGGAGAGTCACTTGAACCTAGGAGGCAGAGGTTACAGTGAACCAAGATCATGACACTGTACTCGCTCCTGGGCAGCAAGACTAGACTCTGTCTCCAAAAAAAAAAGAGAAAAAGATGGGGTCTAGCTCTGTCACACAGGCTGGAAATCCTGTGGCAAGATCACAGTTCACTGCATCCTTGAACTCCCAGGCTCACGTTATCCTTTCTCCTCAGCCTCCCGAGTAGCTGGGACTATAGAAATACGCAACCATGCCTGGCTAAATTTTTTTTTATTTTTTGTAGAACAGCGACTCATTATGTTGCCCTGGTCTCAAAGTCCTGTCCTCAAGCGATTCTCCTGCCTCAGCCTTCCAAAACACTGGGATTACAGGTGTGAGCAATTGCACCTGGCCTGTTTTCACCTTCTTGGTGGTACAAATGTTTTTAATTTGATGAGGTCCAACCTAACTTTCTCTTTTATCATTTGTGCTTTTTGGTATCATGTCTCTAAATCTTTGGCTTAACCTAAGATCATTTAGATTTACTTTGTTTTTTCTTCTAAGAATTTTTTTAGTGTATACTTTTATATTAGATACTTTTATATCGTATACTAAGTTAATTTTTGTGGGTGGTGTGAGAAGTTTAAATTCATTCTTTTGTATTTGGATATTCAGTTTTCCTAGCTCCATTTGTTAACCCACTCCAACCCACCTTTAAACTTTTATTATGGAAGTATTAGAATATACATAGAAGTAGACTGGGCATGGTGACTCACACCTGTAATCTCAGCACTTGGGGAGACCAAGACAGGCAGATATTTGAGCTTGAGACTAGCCTGGGCAACCTGACAAACCCTGTCTCTACCAGAAATACAAAAGCTAGTTGGGTGTGCTGGTGTGCATCTGTAGTCCCAGCTATTTGGGAGGCTGGTCTTTTTATTTTTTTTAATTAAAAAGAAAAATAGAGAAGGGATTTTGCCATGTTGGCCGGGCTGCTCTCAAACTCTTGCCTTAGGTGATTCACTCACCTTGGCCTCCTGAAGTGCCACAGGAGCCACAGTGCCCACCCCAGACTGTTTAAAAATATATATATGCACAGAAGCATACAAAGTAGTGAAATGAGTCTCTGCCTATACATGATATAGCTTTGGTTATCAGATTCTTATGAGTCTTCTTTCATCTTTCTCTTTTTTATTTTTTGAGATGGTGGCTTGTTCTGTCACCCAGGCTGGAGTGCAGTGGCACGATTTTGGCTCACCACAACCTCTGCCTCCTGAGTAGCTGGGATCACAGGCATGTGCCACCACATCCAGCTAACTTTTTTTTTTTTTTTTTTTTTTTTTGTATTTTTAGTATAGACAGGGTTTCATCATGTTGGCCAGGCTGGTCTCAAACTCCTGACCTCAGGTGATCCACCCGCCTCAGCTTCCCAAAGTGCTGGGATTAAAGGCGTGAGTTACTGTGCCAAGCCTGAATTTATTTTTGAATCATCACTTGCCCATGAACTCAGTTTCTTTCTTAGGTTGTGTCTGTGACTTTTGAATCTCAGGTCTTTTATCTTTTTCTGGTGTTACGCTACTTGAGCTAGAACACATACTTCAGTAACGTGTAGGCAGTGAACTTTTTAGTCCTTGATTTCAGGAATGTTTGTTCTATATTCACACTTGTTATAGGTTGCTGTACAGGAAATTCTAGTTTGAAATTTATTAGCCCTCATAGTTCAAAGGCATTTTACTATTGTTTTCAAACATCTGATTTTACTTTTTTTTTTGGAGGCAGTCTTGCTCTATTGACAGACTGGAGTTCAGTGGTGTGATCCCAGCTCACTGCAACTTCCAACTTCCATTTTCCGGTTTCAAGCAATTCTCCTGCCTCAGCCTCCTGAGTAACTGACACTACAGGCACACACCACCATACCCGGCTAATTTTTTTGTATTTTTAGTAGAGACGTGGTTTCACCATGTTGGCCAGGATGGTCTTGATCTCTTTACCTTGTGATTCGCCCGCCTCAGCCTCCCAAAGTTCTGGGATTACAGGCATGAGCCACTGTGCCTAGCCTCTAATTTTAAGAAGTCTGATACAGACCAATTTTTTGGGTAATCTGTATTCTTGGGAGGGTGCCTTTCTGAAAGCTTGTAGCATTTTCTATGTTTTGTGTTCTTAAAATTTCAGTAATGTTTCTTGCCATGGATCTTTTAAATTTTTGTAATACTTGCTGGCCCTTTTATTTTTTAAAACACATGACCTACAGGTTTTTTTGTTTGTTTGAGACAGAGTCTTGCTCTTTCAGGCTAGAGTGCGGTGGAGTGATCTCAGCTCACTACAACCTCTGCCTCCTGCGTTTAAGCAATCTTATGCCTCAGCCTCCTGAGTAGCTGGGATTACAGATGTTCACCACCTTGCCCAGCTAATTTTTTTATTTTTAGTAGAGACAGGGTTTGACCACATTGGCCAGGCTGGTCTCGAACTCCTGGTCTCATGTGATCTCCCCACCTACGCGTCCCAAAGTACTGAGATTACAGGTTTGAGCTACCATGGCCGACCAATGACCTGTGGTTTTAAGAGGAAATATTTTGGTATTATTTTGTTGAATATCACTTGAGGATCCCTTTTCCCCGCATTTTCCCCCTACCACCCCCCTGCACCCAATTCCTGCATAAATATTAAAAAAAAAAAAAAAGAAAGAAAGGAACATTTTCTTTCAAACCATCTGAGTTCTAGGAGTCACATTCTCATAAAAATAGACTAGAAATCGATAACATTATTCTCTTCCAAAGGAAGAGTTACCATTGTATAGCTGACAGAAGTGAGAGGGAGACTTTTTATTTTATACCTCTTTGTAACTTTTCATTTTATATCATGTGCTTACATTTTTTGTTCAGAAATACAAATTGTATAACATTGTACAATGATAATACCTTAGAATTACATAATGTTTATTTTTTTGGTGTCATAGATGTAGCTCATTATAGTTTAGGGTAGCAAACGTGATCATTAATAGCTATAAAACCTCATTGTCATCTCTTGCCTACATTTCTGAATCTTTCTGCAAATGAGTCTTCGTATCTTTCAAACTACAGTTTTCATTTTCAACTACAAATGAATGAAAAATTAGGCTCTTGTTCAAGTGTTAGGTCTCAGCATAGTTCCCAAAAGCCTATATTAAGTTCCTCTTCCATGGTTGCTCCTAGGTTCTGTAGGAGACCTGAGATCATTAAGAGATCAGTAAAATAGCCATTCCATGCTATTTCTTAAAACCTTGGTAAGATGCTTGCTGTGGCATGCACAGCTGTGGCGTGTCCTAGCTACTCAGGAGACTTAGGCAGAAGGATCACTTGAGCCCAGGAGTTGGAGGCCAACATGGACAACATAGGTCTTTTTTAATGAAGAACCCTGTTTCTTTAAGAAGAAGAAGGGGAAAAAAAAGCCTTGTGTAGAAGCAACATAAACACATAAATTTTGCAAATAAAAGTGAATGAAAAGTGGTGCTGGGCGTTTGTTGGGGAAGTTTTTGGATGTTGTCCTATAGAAGGTGGGATTAATTACTGGCTAGTAGTTAGGGTCTTGAGCAGATACAAGTAATGTGGCATCTTCCTCTTTGTGCTGTTGAGTTGGCAAGAAGCATGAGTAGGATTCACCATCATGAATGTGGCAAAGGAGTGATAGTCTTCCAGAGTACCTTTCTGTTTGGTACTGTATCTGTTTTTTCAGCTATGGACCTGGACCTGAAACTATGGGTGAAATACTGTTTTTCCCTTTATTTCCACACATGAGGTCTGCTCACCCCTGGGAAGGGCGAGGCTTTGTATATGAGTGTCAGGTGCTGAGGAGATTGCTGCCTTCCTGCTACTGGAAAAGTCTTAGGGAGGAAAGGATAGTGAGGGGACAGACCGAGTGCCAGGTTGGGGTGATAGGTGGCAAAGTACCTCCTGTCTTCTTCTTTGGCCTATCAGGGTCCTAGTTTGCCCTCTCCTTGATAGGCTTTTTGAAGGTAGTAGTTTACCATGTGAGGCATTTCCTTTAATTTTTTAAGGGTTCATTTATCAGGACCAGAATTTCAGAGACAGTTATTTTAGATTGAAATAAATGTTTAGTAGAAATGTACAAAGGAGACATATAGGGTACCATTGTAAATTAAATAATCTTCACCTTGAATATCATCAACATTTTGTAATCTTTACCTAAATAGTTTGAATGATCTTTTACCCTTAGCACCTGGCTGCAGTGGAAGAAAGAAAGATCAAGTCCCTGGTAGCTCTCCTGGTTGAGACACAAATGAAGAAACTAGAGATCAAACTTCGACATTTTGAAGAGCTGGAAACTATCATGGACAGAGAGAAAGAAGCTGTAAGTAACTGGAATTTTATAGTGGCTTTTTCACAATTAAACATTAGACACTTTTCACAAAACACAAGTTAGGTAAAATAAATGGTAGCCTGTTCTCTTGGTCTCCATGGCGAACTTCTGTCCTTTTTCCTATGTTTGATTTGCCCATTCAAAAGGATTATCAGCCAGTGATGTTAAACAAAAGGCACTCTGTTCGCTTTCTGAAACTAATTATCTAAATCTCAGCTTCTTGTACATGTTGGCTGTGAAGGTACATGATAATATTAAATTCTTCTGTCTACAGAATTTAGATCTTAGAGTTATTTGATTACCTACTTGTTACTGATACAGTAGAAACTGTATAAATTGATTATCTGATTCAGAGTTTTTCTCTTTTATTTTTATTTTTATATTTTTTGAGATAGAGTCTTGTTCTGTCACCTGGGCTGGAGTTGCAGTGGTGCGATCTTGCTCACTGCAACCTCTGCCTTCTAGGTTCAAGCAGTTGTGCGTCAGACTTACAAGTAGCTGGGACTACAGGTGTGTATCACCCTGCTGGGCTAATTTTTGTATTCTTAGTAGAGACGGGTTTTCACCATGTTGCCCAGGTTGATCTTGAACTCCTGACAGGTGATCCACCCAAGTGCTGGGATTACAGGTATGAGCCACCACGCCCAGCCAATTTTCTTTAAGTTTTAATTTTTATTTCCAATTCAGAAGTAACTCGTGCAGGTTTGTTACATGGATATATTGTATGATGCTTAGGTTTAGCCTTCTGTTGAACCTGTCACCGAAATAATGAACATAGTACCCAATATATACCTTTTTAGTCTTTCAGCCTTTTCCCCTCTCCCCTTTTAGAGTCACCAGTGTCTATTGTTTCCATCTTTATGTCTATGTATATCCAGTGTTTAGCTCCCATTTATAACTGAGAACATGTGGCTTTTTTGTTTGTTTCTGCATTAATTCACAGGATGGCCTCCAGCTGCATCTATGGTGGTGCAAGGGACACACTTTCATTCTTTTTTATGCCTGTGTAGTATTTAATAGTGTATATGTACCACATTTTCTTTATCCAATCCACTGTTGATGGGCACCTAGTTTGATTTTACGTCTCTGCTATTGCAAATGGAGCTGCAATAAACATGCACGTGCAGGTGTGTTTTTGGTAGAATGATTTATCTTTTTATTTTTTTAGATTTTTCTTTTTTTTGACGGAGTTTTGGTTTATTGCCAGGCTGAAGTACAGTGGTGCGATCTCAGCTCACTGCAACCTCTGCCTCCCACGTTCAAGCGATTCTTCTGCCTCAGCCGAGTAGCTGGGATTACAGGCACATGCCACCACGCCCAGCTAATTTTTGTATTTTTAGTAGAGACAGGGTTTCACCATGTTTACCAGGATGGTCTTAATCTCTTGATCTTGTAATGTGCCCACCTTGGCCTCCCAAAGTGCTAGGATTACAGGCGTGAGCCACCACATCCCAGTCAAACGATTTATTTTCTTTTGGATATATACCCAGTATTGTGATTACTGGGTTGAATAGTAATTCTATTTTTAGTTCTTTGAGAAACCTCCAAACTGCTTTCCACAGGGGCTGAACTAGTTTACAGTCTCATCAGCAGTGTATAAGTGTTCAGAGATTTTCTTGATTCCTGACTTTTTCAAAGTAAATATTACAAAGTAGAAATTAATCTCATCTTGAGTTTTAGGAGCCTAGTTTTCTGTTATCCTCCTTCAGATCCATCCTTGTGCTTTCTCACACTTCCCATTCCTTCTCCTGCGCTGAGTGTAGCTGGAAGTAGACCCATCCCGAGTCTTGTATGTAGCATTCTCTGGAGCAGAGACTTTTGACATAAGGAGATGATCCAAATGGGACCAAGAGAATTATGAAAAGGGCCAAAAGTGAGAGGGGAAGTAATAAAAAGTAAGAAATTTAGAAACAGAGGAACATTGGTTATCTTTGGAGAATTTCTGGAGAAACAGAGATTAAGTAAGCTCTTTGTGAAAAAAAATTTTTAATGACTTGACTAGAGAAACACTTAGTGACTTCCTAAGCATGGGCTAAATTTGAGCATTGAGTTAGGACTTTTTCCCTCTATTTTAACTTTTTTATCTACATATGATATACTGACTCCAAATGGTTGAACTTTAAAAAGAAATTATTCCAGAATACTGATCATTTTAGAATCACTATTTACATTTGCGTAAGTATCTTCTTATATTTGTTAAAATGTTTCTTAGTGGCCAGTCCAAGCAAGTCCTCTGTTGAACTCCTCATGATGAGTAGCCCAGTGTCTGTTACCATAGCCCATATCCATTTTGTCCTAAGACCATCTCGCCCCATGAGCAGGAATAGGCTGCTTCAGTAGCTCTACTACCCCCACTCTATGCCACCCAATCCTCAGCTCCCTAAGAAGGCGTCTAATCAGGGACTCACTGTGCCTCTCACTCCATTCTCTACATTTGTCATTGAGCTTCTGTCTCTGTAAGCTTCTCTCATACCATTGACCTTCTGCGTCAGGAGCTCATGAGACCCTGGCTTCATATCCGTCACCCTCTATGTATGCCGCACCACATATAGGCTTCCTTCACTGCCTTACTCTCTTTGCCAACTGTTTGCATCCTGCTTCTCTGGCCAAGAAGGCTCTTTGCCCCACTTTTTGCCTACCTCCTGCATTCCTCAGCTGTACATGGCGTGGCCTTCACATTTACTGTTGTGGCGGCCTCACAAAGCACTTAATTGTACTGTAATCACCAATTCATGTGTTTGAATTTCTGTGCTAGAGGATATACTTTCTGAGGGATATACTTTTAAGCAGATATCTTTGTTAACACGGAAGTAGCACATCACAGGCCCTTATTTGAATGTCTTGAATGAGTGTATGCCAGCGTTGTTGTCATAGTTGGGAAAGTGGAAAGGATAATCCACCTTTGGAGACTAGTTTAATGGGGGAAACAGTCAACAAATAATGACAATACAGTGTATTTGTATAGTACAGCAGTTGTACAGATACTGCTATGGGAACAGAAAGGAGGAATCCCAGGGAGATGGGGAGAGGGAGAAGTTATCAGAGAAAACATCCTATAGGTGAAGCTTTGGGGAATGAGTCTTTGTTTATCTTTCTCTAATAAGCTTCCCTTTTGTTATTTTGTGGATTTTCGTAGAGAGCCTGGTGTAATAGGGGACTATAATATAGTGGAGTTTATTATTAGCATATGCAGAATTCAAATGACGATTGGGTAGTTCCCACTGGCAACCAGACGTCTTGCTGTCATTTGCAAAGGAAACTAATCCATTAGTCTTAAATATTGGGATAACCCTGAGCACTGAATATATCTAGTTTTTCAAGGAGCTCTTTCCTCAGCAATAAGTTGCTTGCTCTTCAAAGAGTGAACCTGCAGGTCCGCCAGTTTTTTAAACCTTATGAGGGGCCTGTCGTCTGTCCCATAAGAATAGCAGAGTTCAAATCTCTTTCCACTTCTGTCCGCTGGCTCCTGGACACCAAGGGACAATGTATAATGGCTTCACTTCTCTCAGCCCTGCAGAAGTTTCCTTGTGTGGTGTTTTTTTTTTTTTTTTTTTTTCTATTTTTTTTTTTTTTTTCTTCTTTTTTCGTTGCTTTTTTTTTGGTTTTTTTGTTTCTTTGTTTGTTTGGTTTTTTTTAAATAACTATTTAGGCTGAGCATGGCGGCTCATGCCTATAATCCCAGCACTTTGGGAGGCCGAGGCAGGCGGATCACGAGGTCAGGAGTTCAAGACCAGACTGGCCAACATGGTGAAACCCCTTCTCTACTGAAAAATACAAAAATTAGCCGGGCATGGTGGCTCATGCCTGTAATCCCAGCTACTTGGGAAGCTGAGATAGGAGAATTGCTTGAGTTGGGACCTGGGAGGTGGAGGTTGCAGTCAGCCGAGATCACGCCACTGCACTCCAGCCTGTGCTACAGAGTGAGACTCCATCTCAAAAATAATAATAAAAATTAAAAATAGCTATTTAACTTAAATTATATAACTTCCCTACTTTTTTATCTTTTGAGACAGGGCTTGCTCTGTTGCCCAGACTGGATTACAATGGTGCAGTCATAGCTTGCTGCAGCCACAAACTCCTGGGGCTTAAGTGATCCTCCGTCCTCAGACTCCCAAGCAGCTGGGACTGCAGGCATGTGACACTGTGCCCTGTTAATTTT